GATGATGATGATGATGATGATGATGATGATGATGATGATGATGATGATGATGATGATGATGATGATGATGATGATGATGATGATGATGAGGTAGTCCAGTGTGTCGGCATTGGGATACAGTTTAGTAAGCAATTCGTTATTGCTAATTCGCTCACAGGACAGGTTAGAAAAACGTTCAAAACAGCTGTTCACAGCAAGACGCATGTTGACTTTGGCACTTCGGGTGTAAGACGTTGTCTTCATCATTATCATGAATTATCTACCTTGGATACTGAGTCTAGGAGACTAAAGACTCACTCCAGAGTTGAAAACATCAGACTGAGTTTCCCTCACTTTTGTTTGGATTGTCTCAGTGTACTCACCGACGACAGCTAATGATTTCTTACACCGGAATCCAAAGCCTACTCAGGCTAAAACTTGGCGAATTAGCAGTAGGCAACAAAAGACGAGAGTACAGCACACATCTAGATATGGGGAAACATCATATTGTCACAGGGATATATTAAACAAGTTGGAGCAGTGTATTGGGCCTCACAGATCATGAAATACTGACGTCCTCCTCGTCTCTCCAAGCTTCTGGACTGGACAAATTTCAGATTTAACATCCAAAAAAGTAAGGACGATGAAGTACGCTAGGACAGTCAGTACAGAAAGGTGCAAAGCTTATTTGGTGACTGTTACAAAACAAAAATACAGAAACTTTAGTCAAAAAGTTATCCATATTTCGAGCAAAAGTATTGCAAAGCGATCACCAAGATTCTTGGGGCCAAACAACCCATGAGTGACGTCAAGCCTCCCACGAAGTGACTTGATCATTGGACGAAGAAAGGTTCGTTTAGTTCAAATTTTATCTCTCTGGTCATTTAAATCCATTTCTTGAAAATAATCAAAACGTACTGGACCTTACAGATCACTTGAGTGATTCGACATTCAAGCTCAACTTGGGTGATTGACGCCAAAACTGCTAGGCTACAAGTGTAGCGCTGATACTACTGATGGGGAGGCATGCAAATAGTATGTTTTGTTCCTGTAAATTTGCTTTGCGTCTCTTGAAAAGGGAGATCTGTTACGGAATTTGTGGAGTCGCTTTTTAGCATTTGCTTGGATTTGAGCAATGAATGATTGAAGTCAGTGAATATCCAGGAAAGTTCAAGAAGACGCTGTCAGGAGAAGACTGATCTCAAGTTTTTGTAAATAAGATGCAAATGAAAATTGTGCTTCCCTGTCTAATAGTCTGTAACTGGTCAGTTTAAACTTTCTATGAAGATCTTCTTCCTTTCACAAGTGAACAATAAACTTTAGCAAGAGTGTATACGGCGCCAATTATCGGTTCACGTTACGTGATCTGATGACTATTGAAGTAGGTGTTGTCTATGTGCAAAACTTTGAACAGACCATTCCTATTTGTTTATTATAGTGCAAGGGTTACATCTTGAAATTGAAGCCTAACTAAACTAAATAACAATTCCATATACTTTAACTCAGCTTCCAGCATTGCCGGTTGGATATCAGATCCATAGTTCCGAACGTCCTGACTCCATATATGATACAAAATGACATAAATGGTAGTATATGCTAATCATTCTCCTAATCAATCTTTTACGCACAACGCATGAGTCAAGTCCGACCAAGTAGGACTGTCCCTGGCTTGACAAATAAACTGCCATAAAGAGATAACCAGAAAATTTGGCTACAAACAAATGAAACAGTTTCATGGTTCTTATCGATAGAAGATGAAAGAGATACTTGTTTCATGTATTATTAAAATAAACGGGATAAGCCTCGAAAGTGGTCGTAGAAGCAGGCCCAGCAACGTTTTGAGTGGACGGCTAGATCCTCGCAAAACTGATATCACAGGATATCTTGTTACACTCACAAAGGTCCAGTTGGGTTTTCTTCCCGCAACTTCTTTTCAGCTTCTTCAATCCCACTGCGAGCCTCATTCAAATACAAATCCACATCCAGTTCTACCGGAATCTTCTTCGCTTTATTCACTGCATCTCTTACACGAACCTTAACCTCGTGATGGTTTCGATCGATCGGTTGTAGGAGATCTGCAAGTCGAAACAGGCAAAGAAAAAAACCACCTAAGCAATCATGTACCGTAAGTTCAGGTAGTGATTTTCATACCCAACCAACATGTACAACAAAGTTCGTAATAACTTCACCGTGTCAAACCATCACTGCAGAGAGGTTCGTTCACCTGATCCCAACCTGTATTTGCATTCTTCGCTTAGAAGATCTGAAACAAATCCTACATATGGAGGGCACTTTCAAACAGTTATATAGAACTTGACATGATATACCTTTCGGGATAGAAGGGATTATTGCCTTGGCCCTGTTTTGACATTTCGATGCGTTTTTTCTTAATCTATTTGTAGACTGCCGTTGCAACAAGGGACAAGATGTTCGTATTTTCTCGGCTGGTTATAGTGAAGTTGGAACAGGATTAACTTACGGGCTCGATTTCTGGCATGTCGTAGAGTTTGTACCCAATTTTCCGGCCCACTTCCTGAACGATGCGTTTTCATCTATGTGCTATAATTTACCACCATTAGGACTAGCAGTTTTGTCTAAATCTCTCCGATATTGGTGGCGTTCATGCTGTCAGTTCCTGTCTTGAATGTCCGACTGAGTGTTGGAGGTGTAGACACCTCGGATGTTTGGGTTAGGTTAACCGTACATATCACTCTCCGTCCCGTTTCCTTTCTCCTTTTCATTGTAAGGTTCTATTCACACCTGCACCTGTCTGTCTGTATTGACGCTCAGGGCTGTTAAAACAAGTTTTCGGTTGTGAACGTGTTAGTCCACTAGCCCACCGCTTACACTCACCTGAATGATATCATTAATAGGTCATTCATAGAATAAGGAGAATAATATTAGTTTTTGAAAAGACTAACGATCATCTGCAAAGGTGTGCTGTTTCACTGGTCTATCAGAAAAAGCAGAACAACGAAGTTGAAAATCTCTTCCATAGACCAATTTTGTTGCTCGTTTATCGTGAGTGAAGAGATTCCCCATTGTTGGAGAATTCTGAAGCACTAGCGATGTTTAATCTTTTGAGTTGCCTTACAGAGAAAGACCCCCAAATCACTCCTTTGGTGGTTATCTTGTAATCTAAACAACATACTTGCAGAACCATACTGATGAATTGCATTTTAGCTCAAAACAGGTACACTACATAATTCTCCACAAAAATTTTGAAATTGAAACCAACAAACGCGTAACGAAAGAATGACAAACAGCAACATACGTTCGGGTATGTAGAGAGATTTGACGGGCCTTGAGAGTGGAGTTAGAGGATGCACCGTGACTGAAAAATGCACAAACAAAATGGGCACCGGCCTATTGTGAAATTTCTCTCCTGACCTCATCTGCTCATTGCGACAAATGGAATTTCCAAAGAAAACACAAGTTTCTCCAGAACTGCCTTAAACTCAGTAGGGAGCACTAACTAACATCAATGCGTTGTTTCCTGCTAAAATGAAGTAACTAGCAAATTAACTTCGCTAGAGAGAATGCTGCAAAGTTCAAACTGACAGATGCGCCACTGTTTCGGGTTAGTGAGTGAAGGACATGCTGATAAATGTGGTAAAGGACTCTTTAAGTCCTAAGAAGGTCATTTTTATGCATTTTGCGTGGTTCAGCCAAACAAGATGCGCCAAACTACAAAACAGGTTGTTTGAATAACTCACTGAGTTCCTCTTCTGGAACCTCGACTGAAAGAAAATTTAGTGCAGGTGATAAGCAACGGCTGATTGCGACCGTGTTTTTAGGTAGGTACGAAGTAACAACACTTACGGGTTTCACCATCGGCCTCAGTTTCATCAGCTGTTTCCGCAAGCATATCTACGGCTTCTCGTTCGAGTTCCAAGGCTACAGTGTCCACCACTCCATCGGTGGCATCCTCGAGCATTTTTTCTAGAAGAGTCCAAGAGATGTTGTGCATCATATAAACTTGTGTTTGTATAGATTCCAGCTGTAACAGTCACTGCATTTTAGCGCAGAAAACCCTTTTATGAGCTTGAAAGAATTTATCATTCGGGTGATGATTCAGAGATACACGTCCTACAAGTTCAGTAATAATCTGTTTTTGTGTATGAAAACCCTACCACCAAGCGACTTGGCTTGATACAAACTAAAGCAAGGACCGAAACCCTGTACATAATAAATCCTTCACGTTATCAAATCAAAAGAATCTTACTGGTTTTGAGTTGCAGCATTTCTTGCTCACGTCTCTCCTTGAGTTCTTTGATTACTTCGGCCTCGGTTTCGGCTGCCACTTCTGCCAGCCGTTGAGCCATCACTTTATCGTGTTCCTTCTGAAGCGTTTCATTTATATCAAGCACACGAGCACCGTATGATTCAGCTAACATCCGAATGACAGAACTTCTACCTGAAGCAGTCGAGCCAACCACCATCAAACGAAACGGTGGCCGAGGTTGTGGGGGCAGTAGATACGGTCTTGGATTAAGCATAAACGACGCCAAATGCTCTGCCGAAGACATACAGTAAATTCCGCCCAGAAATCTATTGGACCAGAGAGGAAATAAGATTTAATTCGAACGAGAAAAGAATGAAATTGGACAAGAACTACGAAATAATCGAAACACATGGTGAAACCAATAGTTCCGGTGGGCCCTCAAAACATAGTAAATGATCATTAGAAGGAACTCGTGTCGAATATGTTGTCATTTACAAAGGAGAGATTCATGTTGTTTGGGATACATCAAGATGACATTCTGTTTGATGAAGACTGCACTCTGTAGGACGCCAAGACTGACACCAACTTATGCATTGACCGCACACTATGGATAATTCCTGCAATCAGTTTTGTTCACAACTATCCATAAGTAAACAGGATACCATTATCTGGATCCATTCTTAATGCAAACACGTTGCTTTTCAGATTCCATTCCCATAATTGTCCTCAGAAGGTACTTCAAATTTGCTAGTTAGCGACAAACGTGATTTTAGCCACTCAGCTGAGAGGTGCACAGATGGACAGTGGTCGAAAACCGATCTCATCACAGACACATGATCCGTCAGATTTTCAACCCCGGATCGGCTCCTGATACTCCGACAAGAACTATCTGTTGGCGGGAGTTCCGCATAGAAACCGACCAAAAACCAACTGGCAGGCGGAGTGGTCAATATTCTTCTCACTAGATCTGTCTTTGTTGTTCACCCTTACTGTTAGGTGACGGTGCGTGACAACAAAGAACGCAAGAGAAATATTCTGGTGGTTATGAACGGAAGGTAGTAAAATGTTGTATGGCACAGTAGGGAAAAGCAAGAATCCACAAAATATCTAATAGTCAGACCACGAGTTGATCGTGATATATCTTCGTAAAATTACGGAGTGGAAAAATAAGTGACCTTTTGAGTAGGGCCAGACTAGCCGTACCATCGTCGATGAACATACCAGCCAGTGTTTTTCGTTAGACGATTAAAGGTAAGTTAGAAACGACAGTAGGACACATACAGTTACATTCCGCCCTGGTGTTTTAGGATGCCGATGCTCGGTAAGAATTTGATCCGTTTTGACAGATCATTTTAAGCGCTATAAGACATCGACCCAAACCGATAACGTTATGTAAAATCGGCAAAATGCATGAGGCATCTTTGGACACAGATCTGACACGCTGACGGCATAAAGACTTTAAAAATTTATTCCCAACTATATGGACGGGGACTCGCGTGGATGGAACTCTTTGGCCGACAGAGAAATTTTGGTGGCTTCCTAAATTTCATCTTTCTGCAAGAACCATTCCAAATGAGTTAGTTCATTTGAGTATGTTTTCTTCTCCCATATCCCTAAACTCGGAAATTTACCGTGTACGAAAAACTTGCTAATACATCTAAAGGTATGCAGTCGATGGACAAACTCATATCTCAATATTCAAAAGCAACTTTCAAAAAATTGAAATACCCCTCTTGGAAATCGACGCAGATACCTACCCTACGGTGAATTCTGGCTTTCCCTGAGCCAAGTAACCCTGGTAAAGTGCTACCGGACAAAATCGCTGCCAAGCTGTTCGTTTCCATCTACATCTTGGCCCAGGCATCTTACGCGTAGCAAGAGTTTTGAAAAGTTCATCGGTTTCCATATCCTCAGGTACTTCTTCCTCTTCGGTGGCTGCGGAGAAAAAACGTACCGGAGCTACTGACGGGTACAAATTCATTGCTTGTAATCTTGTCATCAGATTCTAAAATACGGACAAAAACAGGTTTAATCCATTGGTAGTTTAACTTCTTGAAGTGTCCAACGACTAGTGAATTAAATACTTGTAAAATATTCCAACGAAAGTTTTTGCTCAGTTGACAACATTTTTATGGTGGTCACCGCGGCAGACCTGGTAGATGTAAAGGGTAGTCGTTTGCCGACATGCCTAAGTAACACTTTCATCCCAACCGCTGGGACTGAATGGTTGAGTGTACCAGACAACAACAATGGCCCTAATGTTGTACGGTTGCGAGACATGACCTGTGTCAACAAAAGGATGTGTGATGTCGATGTCTCAGAAGCTTTATTGGTGTCGGATGACGTCAACAAATCCATAATTAGGAAACGGATATTTAATGGGGCAGCAGGTACTTCACTCACGGGGAGCAACCAGGACCATGTGCCACACATGCCGAAATGGAGTCTACCGAGATGAGTGTTGTTTTCTGTGCTTCTTTAAGAATAGCGCAACTCACGAAGTAGTATACAAACAGTTCTTGTGTCGTTTGTGCGGTGAGCTTTCCAGACAGCAAAGCATCAGTTCTTAACACTGGTGTTATGCTGTCGATGATGGTGATGAAACCATCTCAGGATGATGTTCCCGCGACCCCAGTGCTTATTTGGAAACACTGAAAGGAACGACGCTTAATCGTCGTCACTGACGCTTGCACTGTCACTTCTTTCATTTTGTGTGACCGAGCGCTTGGGTTTGTGGACACTTCAGAAGGGTTACTTCAGGCTATCACTAGGTACCTCCATCGACCTCTCCTTCCCCTTCTTTTCACTTTGGAAATTTAGATATAATTGAACTCAGTGTTTGTGGGAAATAAAGCATGTGTCAATACTGATGTGGCTATCTCTGATGATGATGATGATGATGATGATGATGATGATGATGATGATGATGATGATGATGATGATGATGATGATGATGATGATGATGATGATGATGATGATGATGATGATGATGATGATGATTGATGATGATGATTATGATGATCATGATGATGATGATGTGATGATGATGATGATGACGAGGACTTCGTTCCACGGATGGTTTTTTAGCTGCGTGGTTGAGGAATAAAACTGGAGTGCCAGCAGAAAGAGCTAGCTTAGACCATTTCGCGTGCTTGAAACACCTTACACTATTTGAAGGTTGCGAAAACAAAAGTTTTAACGGTAAATCTCTGCATATTCTGCATTTTGGTAGATAAGGTGTGATGAATAAGTGAATACTACTATCAGGAAGGTCAGATTCCTGAAAGCAACTTCAGAACGCCCGGAACCTACTGCTCCACCAAGAACTCAACTGAAAAGCCGGCAAACATCCAGGCCAATCAATCATTCAATCAATTCAGCAAGACCTGATGAGTGTTCTTGCGGCCACAGAAGCACGACCGAATGTGATCAGCGTTCAGGCTTTTCACAGAGACACGATCAATGTTGATGGGTGATCACTAACGCCTATCAGACAGCCTGGATCAATGTCAGAAAGTCCCCTTTAAATAGCGTGGGGCCGTTGTAACTTTTGCACGCTCTCTCACTCACTCGCTTGTTCGGAATACAGCTATTGTGTTCCCTTCTATGAGTCTTTCCTCTCCGACACTAGGCACTGGAGCGGGTCAGCAGCAGATACCACAGATTGACGATTCAGCAGATATAACAAATACTGACGAGAATCCATACAGTAACATCAGTTAAAAACCTGAACAAAAAACACCATCGCATGACTTGGCCGTAGGATTCATGACAGTCACATGTACGAAGGTCATTAGAGGTAGATAAGTTTTAAACGAAATCTTCAACAAGCCATCCAAAAATTATTCTAGAGAAGGTTTACTCGGGCCTTTGATTCGTGGTATCCACTCGTTATGGAGATATTAATGATTGATTATAAGTAGCTGAGAAAACGATCACTGTGCACTTTACTGACATAAAAACGAGTCATTGTGAGCCTTCAAACGCGAGGCGTTCAGCGGCAGAATCGGAAACCTGTGTTGCCCGGATTGCTTGTGTTGTATCATTCGTAAGTTTGGAATCGCCGGAATAATTCCAGTAGGACAGCAGGAGTACTAGCCAGAAAAAAAGTGACTTGACTGTGAGTCATCCAAATTCCGCGGCCATCAGTAACTAAGGGGATATTGGTTATAAATGTACTCATGGTCTGCAATTCGAAAGCCCAGGCATGATTTTCACCAGAAGCCTTCGGGTTTTGAGTTTACGATGCTCACTGCTGATGAGCCTAACCCAAATAGAAATGTTAAAAGACAGGAATGCACCTGAGAAACAGGGATAGTCTAACACATCAAACTTTGGGTATTTCATTTCACTTTACAAGTCCACCCTTCATAACTCACATAAAACTGCTCTGTGGGTGTCTGATTACCGTCTATTTCGATAACATTCAGTGGACTCTGCCGGGAAACGAACGATTTAATGTGACATTTCACATTCTGCCGGTAGTATGATCTGTCTTTCTCAATTGTTTCCGGCAAATCTTCAATATGAACAAACAGCCTTTCGTTGATCTCCCTAGTTGTTTTTGGAAAGTCTGGATGACCCAATTCCATCGCCATTCCGCCCTCTTCTTCCAACGCCTCAGGGTCATCAACATCAAATTCAGGTCCTCCGGTAGTTTCTGTAAGCTCAGTTGCCACCGCAGCCGAGATCTTCACATTCGGTTCTTTTGGCTCCTCCTGTATTGCAGGTTCAGGTTCGTAGTTGCGGAGACCGTATTTTTCACCAGTCAGTGGGTCAACCTTTATCCCTTCCCTGCGTTTGCGCAAATCTTCACCGGGAATCTGTGGCATGGGAAGATGAAATTGGCGATCGGCTTCGTTATTGCATCACGCTGACTGACACAAAACTGCATTTCACTCAGCCTTAGAGAAATCGAGGTAGATAGTAAGAAAATATACATTGTGTACTGCGTCAATATCAACATACTCATAATTTCTTGTCGCCAAAAAGCCTTGATTAACCTATCTACGTTTATTCAGGTCAGAAAAAAAAGAACAACAGTTCGCAGGGTTCCTCAGTCGTTAACTTCTAGGCAGGAATCCTTTGGTTTCTCAAAGTGCTCTATTTTCAGCAAACATATAAAAGCTAAAGAAAGAATAAAATATACACTGAAAGAAGCCTTCCGTCAAGACTGTGATCCGTCATGAAAATTTCTCGTTCGGATCCCTTCTCCTACCGAGAGATTTGCGCATAAATTCGTTTGACCATCTTGAGAATGCAGTACTGGATTATAATAGGATTCTAATGCGTACGAAAGTATTTAGCCAATTTTTTTTATTTTTTACGTTATATCGGTGCTCGGTTTATATTGTCCATCTGAAGTCGTGCTTGCGCAGACAGAAACATTGATCTTACTTTTGAATGAGGGGAGTGGACATGCGGTCGTCATTCAGTTTTGGAATGACCATGCATCAAAGGTAACATGTTCGAAACACTTGGTGGCAAACCAGTCTAACGTATTCACGTCAGCATCACTCTCTTTTGAGCAGTCGTCCTCCTATCCTAGGGTAATTGTTCTAGTGAATCCGTACCAAAGAGGGAAAGCACTGGACTCGATTTTCACGCCTATTAGAGGCATATCGATGGCGGTGCGAGAGTTTGAACTCCAGGCATCTGGTGTGCCAGACGAGCGTATTCCATCGGCATACACTAGAAGCATCTGAATTCTCACGTCTGGATAGGGTGCGAGATTGACTAAGTGATTAGAGCGTGAATTTACTAACAGGAAGGTCCGTGGTTCGACCCGACCTCGGCCGAGCGTATTCCATCGGCATACACTAGAAGCATCTGAATTCTCACGTCTGGATAGGGTGCGAGATTGACTAAGTGATTAGAGCGTGAATTTACTAACAGGAAGGTCCGTGGTTCGAACCCGACCTCGGCCTATCGGCGTCCCCTGTCTAGGCTTGGGCAACCTGGCAGTATCCCAGCCCTCGCGCTTCCTTCGGGTGGCGTAGCAGCTAGACACCGGAAAGATGCTACAGCTGGATAATTCAACGATTCAACGTCTGGATAGGCAAGCATGTTCACAGTTGAGAAATGTGACTGGTTTGCCTGATGACCCAGTAACCATCCCAGTAGTGTCGATCGATTGGCCTGCTTATCAGAACTTCTCTTTCAGGTTCTGTCATAGGCGTCTGAGACCTGCTGTACAATATATTAGTTGGAGACCCATATGACTCAGCCCCCCTCCTGACTCACGGCAGGAGTTATGCAGTTCATTTGTCGGAATATATGTAGCTCGGGTTTCTTTACTGATGAGTAGTCAGATGGTATGTGATGTTTTCACTGGCTTGCAAATGCTTCGTCCTCAGTCGAGTAGAGATCACCAGTGCGCAGCTTAGTAGCTACTTCTAATCCATAAGGGAATCCATACATCCTTCAGGTTTGTAAGTGTATCAAACCTCATTACCACTTTTGTTCCGCCTAAATGAGTTTACGAGTTTACAAGATTACGTTCAGATCTCGACGAAATTACTACTCTTCTGTAAATAATTTGGTGTCCAAAATGCTTTCTGAATTGTCAGCTCAGTTGAGAGCATAAAGTGAGCTATCATCAACAACAAGGAAAGGGGAATCTCTTTGGTGGAACTCTACTGAAAATATCATCTAACAAATTGTTATGAGGTGTAGGCATCTCGGAATTATTGAATTAAATATCGTTTGCCTAGGTGTTCTTTCTGATTTTTTCACCGAAAACTTTTCAACACAAACCGGGGCAGAGGTCAGTTAGACATCGGTGACAAGACTGATGTTGCCAACTAACTTGTTGATGAAACCACTGGTTGCTTATTTTAATATTAAAAATTCATTTAGTTGTAACACCCTACCGGTGCCTAGCTGCCATGCACCCGAAGGGAGCACGAGGGATGGGATACCGCCAGGTTCCCAAGCCTAGACAGGGGAAGTCGATAGGCCGAGGTCGGGTGCGAACCACGGACCTTCCGGTCAGTAAATTCGCGCTCCAACCACTTGAGCCATCTCGCTCCCATTTTAAGATTATCCTTAGCTCTATCATGTAGGGGAGCCACATAAATGTCCACAGCAGTTGGAGCTAGGGTCCTGACTGGCATCTTCAATCAAGCTTAGCTGACAAGTCTAGTGTTGACGAAAAACTAAAATAGGCTAGTAACTGAATTCTGACTTAGTGAGATCTCATTATACATATACACATATACAGATGAAGGATGCGAAGTTTGAAATATCCATACGTCGTTCACTTTCACCGGTCACCGAAATAAAATCCACAAACGTTACAGAAGAGATGCACTGCGGCAAAATGATGAACAAAAGCCTCACAGTGTTTTGGAAAGAATATTTGCAGCTACTGGTTAGACAACGGTTTGCAATGAACAGTTTTCACAATCAAAATATCACCCAATCAAATATTATCAAACAACTCGACCAACAGTCTAGTGTTTGAAACGCGCAACCAGACAGAGAATGAACAGTGCCACTCATACAGATGATCTGTTCGGATTACAAGTTAAGCGATCAATAAAACTGCACTACAGGTGGCTCGATCCTACTGGATGCTCCGATATGTCAGGCTAGTTTAAAACATTCGAAACGTTCTTCTTTACAGTTGATAAGAAACCTCTGTTTGTTCGTCCACGGAAGATGTGATCAAATAACAAACGAACCGACAAACGTCGTGTGAACTACATACGTTGAACCGACTCGGAATAATTGTCTGATGTACGGCGAGCTTGATTAGCTAGCTTGAAGGCTTACTTCATTTCAAGAAAAGTGCTGATCGCTAGGTATCTCTGAATAGCAAGCATGTGTGATATTTTTTACTTAGGACAACATGAGACGGTCTCGTGATTGGTTGGACATCGGCTTGAAGGAAAGCGAGAATTTCAGGGGAGCCACTTCAAGAAACATCTGAGGAGTACCCGGCTTCCGTCAGTTGATCTGTGGTGCACACGTTTTGGGTCTCTGGACACGAGGTTTGCGCCAAATAGAATACTCACATTTGAAAATGTCTGTTGCGATTGTTAACGTAACATAGCAGACCACGAGAGCTTAACGCTTCTTAAGGAAACGTTTAGAAAGACCGCGTAGAATTTATTGTGCTAGGAATTCACACTCAGCTGTACGCAGTAACTAATAACCAACAAACAATATGGCTCAGTAGAAGAAACACAAGAACATCAAAAGCAATCTATCTATCTATCTATCTACTATCTATCTGTCTGTCTGTCTGTCTGTCTGTCTGTCTGTCTGTCTGTCTGTCTGTCTGTCTGTCTGTCTGTCTGTCTGTCTGTCTGTCTGTCTGTCTGTCTGTCTGTCTGTCTGTCTGTCTGTCTGTCTGTCTGTCTGTCTGTCTGTCTGTCTGTCTGTCTGTCTGTCTGTCTGTCTGTCTGTCTGTCTGTCTGTCTGTCTGTCTGTCTGTCTGTCTGTCTGTCTGTCTGTCTGTCTGTCTGTCTGTCTGTCTGTCTGTCTGTCTGTCTGTCTGTCTGTCTGTCTGTCTGTCTGTCTGTCTGTCTGTCTGTCTGTCTGTCTGTCTGTCTGTCTGTCTGTCTGTCTGTCTGTCTGTCTGTCTGTCTGTCTGTCTGTCTGTCTGTCTGTCTGTCTGTCTGTCTGTCTGTCTGTCTGTCTGTCTGTCTGTCTGTCTGTCTGTCTGTCTGTCTGTCTGTCTGTCTGTCTGTCTGTCTGTCTGTCTGTCTGTCTGTCTGTCTGTCTGTCTGTCTGTCTGTCTGTCTGTCTGTCTGTCTGTCTGTCTGTCTGTCTGTCTGTCTGTCTGTCTGTCTGTCTGTCTGTCTGTCTGTCTGTCTGTCTGTCTGTCTGTCTGTCTGTCTGTCTGTCTGTCTGTCTGTCTGTCTGTCTGTCTGTCTGTCTGTCTGTCTGTCTGTCTGTCTGTCTGTCTGTCTGTCTGTCTGTCTGTCTGTCTGTCTGTCTGTCTGTCTGTCTGTCTGTCTGTCTGTCTGTCTGTCTGTCTGTCTGTCTGTCTGTCTGTCTGTCTGTCTGTCTGTCTGTCTGTCTGTCTGTCTGTCTGTCTGTCTGTCTGTCTGTCTGTCTGTCTGTCTGTCTGTCTGTCTGTCTGTCTGTCTGTCTGTCTGTCTGTCTGTCTGTCTGTCTGTCTGTCTGTCTGTCTGTCTGTCTGTCTGTCTGTCTGTCTGTCTGTCTGTCTGTCTGTCTGTCTGTCTGTCTGTCTGTCTGTCTGTCTGTCTGTCTGTCTGTCTGTCTGTCTGTCTGTCTGTCTGTCTGTCTGTCTGTCTGTCTGTCTGTCTGTCTGTCTGTCTGTCTGTCTGTCTGTCTGTCTGTCTGTCTGTCTGTCTGTCTGTCTGTCTGTCTGTCTGTCTGTCTGTCTGTCTGTCTGTCTGTCTGTCTGTCTGTCTGTCTGTCTGTCTGTCTGTCTGTCTGTCTGTCTGTCTGTCTGTCTGTCTGTCTGTCTGTCTGTCTGTCTGTCTGTCTCTCTGTTTATCTGTCTGTCTGTCTGTCCGCCTCTCTCTATGTGATGGTCTAATTACAAATCTGTGTAATAGCAGACGTATGTTGCTTTGTCGGTACATGAGCTTACGCGAAAAATCTTAAACTTATGGCCTGTTCCCTGTTGTGGCTATTCATTCTTTTATTTTGTCACCACTATTGTAGTAGTCCAGATAGTATAAGTGAGTCTAGAGTAATTTGAAACGACAGTTAATGCTGAAATTAACCTTTTCTTTACGCCTTATTATTGATGTTTCCATTCTATGAAGTATCGACTTATTGCCCTAAAAACAGGTTGCTTTTGCAATGAATATAGTAATCAATATGGATTGTCGATTCACTCTAAAATACGCGGGCTCGTACAGCATTGTGCTTCCTCACACGAAAAACATTTGAGATGGATAATAGAATGTCTTTCACGATGATGTTATATTTTACAAGGGGTGTATAATAATCATTCTGGATCAAACTTGACACACTTGGTCGATGTCACTGTATTTGCATTGCCGTGTTTTTGACAGCAATTTCAGAGGGGCCTTCCATGCCGCTCAAAGTGAGTTCACAAGGAGGACATACACACTCTCAGTCAGGAATCAAAGTGCATTTTGGCAAAGCTACAAAGCAAGCCTACACAAAGGTATCTGGGAGCATCCGACCAGGTGAAACTTGAGGCACCATCAATTGTCTGCGAGGACTTACAAAGCCAGTTTCGATAGACCAGCACTCTTCTTATGGTCACAAATTTCACATTGCGTTAGCATGTTAGGTTGTGTCTGAGTAATAAATGTGCAGCAATAAGTCAGTTCATCTTGCAGGTTGTATTTCCTCCCAAGAAGATGCTGATATTTGATGACCAAAATGGATTAAGAAACTGAAGATCAGGTTACATCTAACAAGCGGCGTGAGGTGACGCCGAAGTACTCTGAGGCAGCGTACATTTGTCTTGGTCTTGTTATTATTAATCAGAATTACACTCATGCTACATGCTAGCTGAAGGCACAACACAATTGAAAAGTCATACCAGTTCAAAGTCTTTTAGAAACCACCCATTGAGATGGAGCCTAACTGCATTGTGTTAGGCAGCAACATTAAGGGACAGTTCTCTGCAAGTGCAAGCTTGTAACTCCGCTCCAATTTGAGAACCAGTTATATAGAAGGGTAATAAGGGACCATATAAACAAAAATTCGTGGTATTTAGGCAGTCCAAAAGATAATATGAATACAATCTGAGCGGTGAAGTAGTCAGAAAACAATAGAATGAGTAGCTCGCAGACAATGAGGCGCAAACGCATGCCCTATATTTGATCATAAAATGCAGCCGGTAGGCGCAGAAGTCACAGTCATCCTTAAGTAAGCCTGAACTTGAAATATTTTTACAAATAACATACAATAATTCTTTTGTGACAAGGAACTTAATTGAATTCATCTTATTTATGATGTCCCTGATGAAGCCCATCCAGTTGAAATCATAAACCAGAGATTTCGCCGAAATCAGTCAAAAACAAAGTTGTGTGTAACTGAAAGAACTTGCCGAAAGCTGTTTGACCTAAGTAAATGTACGATGGGCGCAAGGTTACATACTGATGTTGTCGAGCGGAGTGACATTAATTTGTTTCGTATCGTTTAGTTTTAGAAAGCAAGCTACCACAAATAGGTTGTTTGCACAAAACTGAATTTTAAATGAAAAGGCTCTCTTATATCATGAAGCAATAAAAAAGGTAAGCTGCTTGAAATGTTATCAAAGTAACTATGCAGGCGAAAGAAAGCATAAACAGGCGGCTCGTAAACGTGCAACGCAAGAAAGAACGAGGTTAACTAGCGCTTTTTCAAACACATTTCCTTAAAGTGTGCAGTAAAAATCCTCGAGGCATTTCTGTATTCGTCTCAATCTGTGCTCTCTTAAGTTGGCTTGCTCAAATCGGTGGTATTTTTACAAAAGTCCAACAACACAATAAACGACTGCTAAAACGTTTTCCATACTTATGTAAACGCTTGGTTCGAAAGATATTTATTCATAAAAACGAGAGATTCAGCTGGGTTCCCGGTGAGTCTCCCGAAAGAACCAAATTAGTTTGCAGATGAGTGTATGTTCGCTAATTTCGTGCAATTTGGTTTTAAGTAGAACATAAGGTTGACGGAAACCCGGGGACTGCGCCTACCTGATGAGCCCCAAGAAGGGTGAAACCGGTGCTGTCCTGTCGATGGATTTTCAGCAACCTTATGAGTAGTACATTACAAATACAACATGGGTTCTATTAAGTGGCACTTTTATATCTAATCTGGTGGTTTGTTGCTCTGGGAAGCACTTATGTGCCGAATGTTGTCCAGGTCAAGCTCATCAAAGTTCCTATTCATTTTCTGAATACAAGGTCGACTACAAAACTCTCCGGCCTAAGGATGCCACCTTGAAATGGTGGTCAGACTTTAGCGCTGCAATGATTCTGCAGGTTTCACAAGGTGCAACCATCCAGAGAGGCCAAAGAGGAGCAATTAGACCAGCAGCAGCAAGACCCCGTACTACGAATAATTGTGCTACGATGCGGTCTGAGTGTAAAATCCCAATATTCTCTACAACAGGAGTATACAGGTAATAAAACGTTTTTCCCAGGCAACCAGCATGTTTATAGCTATGGGAGCAGCAATACTGCCTTCCTGAAAGGTTAAAAAATCTGAAACCTGAAATTCGCACACTCCGGTTGCCCAACTGGTGACCACGACCGCAGGCGCATTATCTGGTACAGTCGAAATACTTATTAAACCAACGGTTCCGATGCTGTCCAAAAGGCATCGCATCAGGAATAGGGCAGTATCATCTTATTCGCTAAGCCCTCTGGTTAGGATGACTCTCTGCAGTCGACCATGTCAGACTCTTGAATCATCGGCTCCTGGCAGGGTCCATAAAGAAAAAACTACAATCCGCTGGTCAGACTTTTAAGTCCGAGGCTAGAAGCGGGGTACGAAAACAAAGACCTACATCCTCCCAATGTCTTTTGGGTCAGACATTTAAGTCAAAGGCTTAAGGTAGGGTACCTCAACCAAGTCCCCGTTCTCGGCCTGAACAACCGGGAAGTGACGATTATCCGCGCAGTTCTGTGTACACCGATGTCCCTTCCCAACCCCTTCTCAACACATACAACAAACAAATCTCTAAAAATACTGAATATGGAAAATTATAGATGAACTGAATCCCAGCTACTGCGGCACTTACGATCAATGCAAATTTAATAGTGTTTCCTAAGTACCATATTTGTAATTCTGTACTACTTTTTTTGCCACTGAAACGGAGATGTCCAAAAATTACATCACCAAACTTTCCAAAAAGCCGGAGCTAGACACTTTGGTGAGGGACGTGGTTGTCAGTTTTACAAGGATGACAATGTCCGTCTTTCCAATCAGCACTGGATGCATTCCAAGTTTTTACAGTCAAAGAACGCAACTGATCAATTAATATGCGCCCTTGCATTCGATATTCAGGATGTGATGAGTTTACCGTCAATAAGATCCGCAAGGAAAGACTGAAGCTGATGTTAATTCAAAAAAAAATTTTTCGTACAGTCCTTTTACACGTTTTCAACTTCTGAGAATTTATTCACTTGTTGCTATTCATTTTTTCCCCATATGCGAGTGTGAACTATTAACGTGCCATTCAAAAATCAAGCTGGTGCAATTTAGATGCAGTCCAAAAGTTCATGAAGCAACGTCATATACAACCTTCTATGTGCATCCAATTCCACGCAGGGTTGCCTCGTCAATATCAACAGCCTGATGTACATCAACACAATCCTACTCGTGGGTTGGAAGGACGTATGCCTGACCTCACAGAAGTGGTATTCGAACGAGAAGGTTTCTGAACTAATGCCACTGAATCTAGAATACTCGCTCAGTTTAAGCGCCAAAGAGGACAGTATCTCTAAAACGGTCGCTAAGAAAACCTTCCAGACGGACTTTTGAGGTGAATCTCTGAAGCCCATAATATAGCAACCTAGTTTAGCTGCTTTATACGTGCATAAACCTGAATATGGACCTTGATACCTCCCGCACTATTATTCCTGTTTGTGTTCGATGGTCCGTTTTCTCACTGAGTAAGCGGGCTACTTTTTCGGACTTTGTGGTAGCGATTAAATTTTCAGACCGGCAGGTGTTCGATAATATCAGGCACGAGCTTTGGTTCCATGTAAACACCTCTGAAGAAGCTGAACACAAGCGCTACCTTGTTGCCTAATATGCCCCTGCAACTTTTCATTTTCATATCATCAATGTGATGATGTGATGAACATGACTGATACTCTTTGTTTCAGAGGGGTTTGGTAAACAATCGGTGGATTTATTGCTAGCCAACGTTTCGCTTTTGACACAAAAGCTTCGTCAGGCCAAGTGAGTAAGTAAGTAGGTTGATTGGGTTTTAAGGCAGTCAGGGAACCAGTCCGTGAGATTCCTTATGACTAGTTACGTGATCAGTGCTGGGTGTTCAGTCTGATATCCCTATTTGTTGATTAGTGCGATGACTAAGCTTTACGATAGATCGGTTAGGGGGGGTTTCGTCTTTATGATGAACCCGGATTTTTTCGTCCCTGCTTCTTCAGTCTAGGACACCTTAATGGAAAATTCCTCTTGAGGTCGTTCACAGATTTTGTTCACCTGTGTTCGTCCAAGGGTGCTGGGACAATTAGTTTGGGGATGGGGTGGGCTGGTTAATTGACCTGGTTATACCGATATACGTGTGAAACACAATTCTCACAGATGAGCTTTCGAAAAAACTTACTTTAATGCTCACTATAACATCTGGCGTGAGTTTGAGAGTCTTAATATAATTCAGTTGCTCTTCAGTAGTTAGGTAAGTTCTGCCGTAAGTCGGTAGATCATCCAGTACGTATCCGTAATGAGCACACTCTGGCGATGTCAGCTTCTGATGAATCATAGAAAACACGGCCTCCTCTTCTAAAGCCTCTCCAGAGACCAGAGTTTCTGCGAGACTCTTACCCAGTTGATCATTTTCATCCAAGTGATTATTAATAAGTTCGGTGGCTGAACAAAATTACTTGGACTTGTAACTTTACCATTAATAAATTGCAGCTTCCATTTCTCGCTCAACTTTTTAGCCAACAAGGTTTTGCCAGTACAAGGGTGACCGAGAAAGAGGACGCATAGCGGCTTCTTGTGTAGAAAGCGCAGTGTGCCCTAAAGTGATTTAAAGAGAAGCATGCACTTTTGTGTTAGCTACTTCTTCCTTTGAAAGCTGGCTAATTTGCCTATATTCCTCTTGATCTTGCTGTTGTGATTTTGTTCGATATGATTTCACATATAGGGGTTGGTTGAGCATTTCGTGGGCTGAGCCTATTAAATTCACATGACAACGCTTACATTATTGCACTCTCGATCTATTTAAACGACAGTGTCTATAAGTTCAGGTGACTGACGTCACGGATTCATGGGTTGATATACAGGATCGAGACTTACACCGAAGCTTCTTGGCTCGAATTGCTTTTTTTCTTCCAGCGGCTTCCGTTTACTCGAAAGGTACAAGCAAAAAAGGTGTAAAAGCACCCACAAATTTGAAATAACCTTGACAGCACGAGGGCCCACATAAAGAAAGTCCGTTGAAATGGGTAATTGCAGTAGAAACAACCAGCCGCAAAATCTACCAGGGGTGATAAAATTTGTTGCCTGATTAATTCTTGCACTCTGATCCAGATGATCTTACCATGACCACCGGGTACTTGTCGGGTCAGCATTCAATAGCGTTTTTGCCTAACTTTTTTCGTGCAGGGCGTAAGAAATAACTGGGCCACCTCGGAGGCGACTATACCCCGGGGGAAAGGGTTCAAGCGCCACAAGACGAGTGTCCCAATCAGGTATTGCTCCTCAGTAGTTCGAGAGTCCCTATGTAAAACCGTCTCCCGTGGTTTTATTGACACCTTGAAGATCTGAGTATCGGCTAGATCCTTTCAGTTGCATCGATTCAATACGGATTCACGGATTGCTACACAGGATCAAGGCTTTTTCTCAAGCTCCCCGGGTCGCTTTTGTCGTTGTTGTCGGTCAGTGTCTGTCGTTCACCTGAAAGGCACAAGTGAAAAAACGGCGTAGCACGTCAGGGGGACAGAGTTCATGGCACTGAACCTACCTAACCCGTGCTATAGTTGTAGATGGCGAAGCCGTTTCGTTGGTTACAGGAGTGGCTTAGCGGCTTTTCACTGTGAGTAGGGACTCACAGAAGGTAGGGGACTGCTCAAGGCTCCAATGAGTGACCCGATTAACTTGTCAAAATTCAGAATAATGCCCAATGTGAGTAAACTCATGTCGGAGTGAAGGTCTCCGTGGTTTCAATTGGTTTATACACTGGTAGAGGACCGAAGGCCTGGATGTTGAGATCCACTGGCACTGTACCCAATCGGTTCAGTACAGATGAGCTGAAAGTATATTGCGGTGACGCACTGGCTGAGCTGCCGGGCCCAAAGGTTTAAATAAAAAGTTTGACCCTAAGCGGGAGAGTTCATAGTTGAGTTGCGCGTGTATGTGGTCGTGCACGTTTATCACTGGAAAGTAAGCAATATGAAAATAGCGGTTGCCGTGTCTTACGGGAGATTAGGTACCAGTGAAACAGCACAGTCATAGTGGAAAAGATAGAAGAGCGGCATGAGCTTTGGCTAACACACGTGTGGCTGGAAAGTTCATCCACTGAGTTTATCCCACTAATTATTAACTACAAGGAGTTTTACTCCTTTGGTCATTTAACCGCCGGGGAAGCACCCCACAGGAATTAGCCACGCAAATCTTTTTTTCATATCGAGTTTTAAGTGTGTTGTTTGTTTCGGATGTCTGTCCATCCATAGAAGGCAGTTGAACAGACGACTGTGTTCAGGTGGGACGAGGTTAGGAAAAAATGGGTGCTGAAGATAGGAGTAGAGCTGTTTATGTTGGAAGTTCGCTATAACATCTTAGGCGATTTGATAGTCAGCAGACGAGGAACTTGAAAATGATTTCAAGCTGTGTGACAGAAATAACTACAATGAATATGGTAAATATATGGTAACTATACAAAAAGTGTAGAACGATACAAGTAGAAGACAGATTCCACTGCCTTTGAGATGCGCTCCCTGGACGATAATATACTAACGTAATCGCCCGTCAGAAGGAAAACGACGGAAACCGCCTCACATTTTACAGAAGCTTCTAACCACAGTTCATACAGTTGACCGAGGTATACACTTCTCTACCATGTACCTTGAAATGTTGGTCGAAGTTTGCGGTGCCGTTAGAACGCGGGAAAAGCACATGAAAGTCGACGTGGCCGACAAAATCGGTGTCTCGAGTGGGGATGAGGAAGATGGTGGAAGACAGCGTGAATAAATCTGCCACGGGGCCGCAGCAATTTAAACAGACTAAGCCGGTACCGCCAGTGAGTCAGAAAAATAGTCGGAAGTTGAATGTTGCTACTTGCTCCTCACCAACCAGTTACTTGGGTCAGTGCCATGCCGCGCTGAGGCCATGGGCTCCGGTCGTGGCTAGAGTGTTTCAAAGGCCATTGTACATGTGTAGTTTGCATTAGTACGTTGCTGCACTAGTTGCTGAACTTGAAGGAGCGACGATGGTGTTTTAACACGAGCATTGGCGCTGTAGTATTTTGCAGTCACGTTTGAATTATCCAGGTTGAAGGGTGAGGTCCTTCATTGGCAGGGGAATAAAAGATAGGGATTGGCTTTTACATAGCGAAACACTTCCAAGCGGTCCGAAGTCTTGGGTCTAGAACAACGTTGTACGTTCATGCAGCAGGAGTGAGAACGACAAGTCAACAGAAAGGGTGCAGATGCAAGGGTGGAGGTTAGATGAGCTGTGAGCTGGGTCACACTTCCGTCAGGGAACCCAAAACTCGACCATGGATGACTGGTTGATTGGGCATGCTAGAAAGCCGTTAACCGGGAAGCTTCCACAAACTGAGAAAGTGCTAAGATGGAAGTCCGCTCGATAGCCCTTGTAAGGCCTTAGAAGATGAAGTATTAGTTTTGATGTAGGTGGCTTGCTGCACCGGCCCCTGAGAAACCTAAAGGACGGATATGATGGTAGTTTGACTCGCTTTGGTTACATTCTGGTTTGATTATGGGGTGGACGGTAGTCCATTCTTAAGATGAGGGTGGTTCACAAGCAGAGAAGACTGGGCCGGTAAGGACTCTCTCCCAACACACAAGACTAGCGACATGCTGCTTAAGATGTCCGTGTCAGCGTTCTCAAAAACAGCAAATCCTCCTGTATAGCACTACGACAGATAATGACGTTCATGGTTTACAGCCTGATGGCCTCAAATGTGGAAGTAGGTGGACCTGAGACTAATAAACGTAGAATGCAAATGTTTGACGATTCACATGCTTCCGAGCTCTTCGATGATGTTGGTGATCCTGGCCTTTCGTCGAGGCATTACATAGAAGGCAACGTGTTACAATGATCGGCGTGCCCTGTAGGTGAACATACGTGCAGAGGAATTCGATGTGATGAAATGGTTGGAAACCAGGAGACAACAGAATACAATGAATGCATGCAGCGTCTGCTATTGTAACCACAAGTGTTCTTAAGCTGTTGTTTGGCAGGGACGTTGTTGGCGTTTAAGACTTTGTTCACGTCCAATTACTTTCACAATGAAGCAAAAGACGCTAAGCTTCTTTTTTGTGAAGTGTTACCTGATTATCTGTATATCTGTATCGCATGTCTTCTGAGAATACAGCGGAGAATAACCTTAAAGACGATTAACACGAAAATTCATAGCGTAGAATGTTATTTAGCGATTTACAGATGCAAAAATGAGGATTATGTGTTCCTCATAACCGGGGTTGTTTGATGACAATGTGATCTCATTAATTAGGTGTAACTGCATTTATAAGTATGCCACCCAAGTAAGACCGAGGAGTCAACGTCCCACAATAAATAAATAATACTCGAAATCAGGGGGATCCATTCGCGTAAGTAGGTAGGAGATGTGGGACCGTCAGCTCCTGAACCACATGAAGGAGATCGGTGGTCGCTTCCAATAAGTAGTGAATCTTGCACGTGGGAATAGCGTTTGCGCCAAAATATGTCACTTAATTAGAGTGGAGTGGAGAAACTGAGGGTTATGTGTCTGCACCATGAAAAGGGAGATATAACATGGCGATACTAACAATATGGAATGTGAACCGGGGTGTATTAATTTCTGAATAATATTCGGAAAATAGTCTCGATCAAAATCTGATGCTCATGATTCTTTTAAAAGACGGTATATCTATGATTCGCAAATAGCGCTAGCTTCGGGTTAAAGAGCAACTGACTGCGGTGCTCCTATTATTATACTGCTAAAATATCCATCAGAAGCGTATGCTCCAAAGCCATCAACTTCATGTTAAATACTAATGCGTGTAATTAAAAGAATCATCACTGACCCTCGTGCATACACAGCCTCGCAGTTCCTCACTTCTTCAGCCAGAATGCGTGCCTCCGATTCCCGATTTGAACTGGGACCGGTCTCGTTTCACGGGTTGATAAACAGGATCAAGACGTTCTCCAAATTTTCCCGGGTCAACCTTGTGCTTGTCGTTCAGCGGCTGCGCATCACCTAAAAGGCACAAACGAAAAAAGTTTTAAACCAATGCTCAATTTCTCAGATTGAGTGTGAATGACGTTCTTTTTAAGGATCCTGGGACGGACGTCGTCTGAAACCACCGCCAGGAGCGAGTTTGTCTTGTTCAAAGGTTGACGAGTGTTCGCCTCCGTGAAGATCACATTGGTTGTAAGCCATTCGTAGTCTTGCTTCGGCGAGGTAAACGGGGAACAATATATATCCCTGTGGGGTTCCCCATAGACTTTAGATACTACTAATGTAACGGTGATACTACTGGTGGGGGGGCACGCGAGAAGTGTGTGTTTTTCGTAGAATTTTGCTTTGCGTTTATTTAAAAATGGAGATCTGTTGCGGAATTCGTGGAGCAACTTTGTAACATTTGCTTGCATTTGACCGACGAGTGAGTGGAGTC